AGTTTCTGAGTTGTTGGGTATTCCTTTTGTTTCTGTCAACCACAGCTTTAATTTACAGTCATAAGTTTCTGTGTCTTCTGGAACACGGTGACGATAAAATTTTGGATAACAGCTGAGTGATCAGAGCTGGTGAATCTCTAAATGTTAAGTCTGGTTGATATATGGAAAAGCAATGTGGTAATTGCAACAAAATGTTTTCTTTTCAGTCATATACATTTAAAGAACTTTTAAATTTCTTGCCAAAGAAATGCATTTCTTCAGACTGCAGCAGTTCAGAGGGGAGGAGGAAATTGATCTTTTCAGAGATTACTTGTTTCATGTTGTTCTGTCACAACATGGTACAGTTTTAACAAATACATAAAAACCATATTCTGTATCAGGGTTACATACTGCAGCTTTAAGTGGTTTAAGGTCAAGAAACCAACAAAGTGAACTCCTATGGCTCCTTAAAATTTGCTATTTCAATTGAAATAGAAACTAACTTTATAAACCAGTTACATTCAATTAGTAGCTGCCTCAGTGTTTAAGTGATGTGTGTTAAAGCTGCAGTATGTAACTTTTAGTTAAAAAAAAAGCTTTTTACATATTTATTAAAATTATAATTTTTATTAGACCGATAATCTATGAAAAAAATCTAACTCCTCTGCCTTCTCCCAGTGCTCTCAGTATTAACTGCAGAAATACACCACTAAGTCCAAAACAACCAATTAGAGCCAGGAGGAGGGGCTTACTGCTGTCAATCAGTCTTGTGGTCGTCCCCTCTCACTTCCTCTTTGCTAAGCTGCAGCTGATCCACCATTAGTACATTGAGCAGCGAGTACTGCTCAATGTACTCACAATGAGTTTTTTGAAAGTTGTCTTTAAAAAAAAAGACATTTTCAAAAAGGACAACTTAAAACTTTGAAACACTTTGATACCTTTGTAATGTTGATGTTTACAAAAAATTATGTAAAAAAAGCACAGTCTAACACTAATGATAAGAAAAATAGACCTAAAAATATTATTTGTCAAAATTCCATTCTTTCTAAATAGATAAACTGCTAAAACATGAATGTTACTGTGTCTGCATTTGAAAACATTTGTTCATGTTCATTTTTAATCCAAAGTTGTTAGAAGTAGGTCACAGAGAGCCACTGCAGCTGCAGAGCCCCTACACTGACCGAATGTAGATCTAGGAAAAGTTTAAAGGTTGTTAGGTTTGCTGTCAAACACTAAACTCCTTCTATAGGAACCAATTAATCACCTTTACGATAAGGCTCAGCCTGGTGGTGTTTGAAGCAGCAAAGATTGTTGATAGGTGAGCTTATGCTGTCATACAGTCTGATACACAGATTGTATGACAATGTAGACAGAACAATGTCTACACCATCGTACTATCTGTGTAACTCTAAGCCAGGCTGTTTCGCTGCATGAAATGGAGCGTGTTTTTCACTTGATTTCCTCTCAAACCAACTTCTGGAAACAAAAAGGAATTTGGGTTAAAAAGCAAGCCCCCCTTAAAAAATAATAAATTCCAATCTTTACTGTCTGCATAGTTGAAAGTTCAGCAGCACATCTTTCATGTAAAGAATTTCCTTTTCCTCGCCGTTCCTCTGCAGCTGCTCAGAGAGAGAATACCAAGAATGCTCACTGAAATCGGCTCGTCCAAGCCACATATTAGCTTCATCTGAAGGAATCTTCAGAGCATAACAGACATATAAGGCCGATTGCTGTACTTGTCTGACAGAAGAAAAGACATTAGACAAATAGCTCAAAAGTTGAACTGGTGAGTTTGTTTTTTATTTATAAAGAAATCAATGTAGTGTGTGCTTATATAAGATTTTTTTTCTATAAATATAAAATGTTCTCTTCATAGCAAAGGTAATGAAAATTACTTCAAAGCCATGACAACTGTAGATACGTCAAGACAAAAAAAGAGTTCTTAGGAATCGGAAGCACCGTGTGGAAGAGAATCTGACAAGGATACGCAGTCTGTGTGTGTGTGCGTTTGTTTGTAATACCTTGTGGGGATGATTTTCCTGACATATACTACGTTGTGGGGACCGGAGCCTGGCCCCCACGAGGGGAAACCCTGTTTTTGGGTCAGTGGTCAGATTTAGGGCTAAGGTATGAATTGAGTTTTGGTTAGGGTTAGGGTTAGGCATGTGATGGTTAGGGTTAGGAAAAGGGTAAAGGTAAGGTTTAGGCTGTAGAAATGAATGGAAGTCAATGGAAAGTCCCCACAAAGATAGCCAGACAAACATGTTTGTGCGTGTGCGTGCGTGCATGTGTGTGTATGTGTGTGTGTGAGTGGCCACTCTGCATTTCAACACAACGCTTCCTTTCTGCAGTGGAAGACATGCAAGCTGCTGGCTGCGTTTCAGTCCTGCATTGCAGCCATGTTCTCCACAATCTGCACCTCACCGACGGACCTTTGAACACCAACTCAAACATTCAGCTTCCAAGTAAAAAACAAGGTTACATATTCATGGATCTCCCCCACCCTCACCTCCACCCCTACCCCTACCCCGATCCCTCCATTACAGCATCCTGTTTACCCTCAGAGACCCACTATCCTATGGACAACACACATCTCCATAAACTGTCAGAATATTATTTTCCATGGTGGATTAAAATGAAGAGTCCTGGTGTTTATGTCCCTCTAATGCATCATCATGTGGCGCCCACAGCCTTTCACTTTGACCCAGAACGTTCTCAGAGCTTCGTTACCCATAAAATAATGCAGATTACATCCTGCAAGGCCAGCTGCATCAATAATTCTGCTTGGATTTACCTCCTTACAAATTAAAATTGCATCTAGCACATCTAACATTTTTCTATCATTTTTAGCTACATTTGTTTTTATGTCAAATAAAGACCCAGAAAGACTGCAATAAAAGCTGTAAGATCCAAAAAATTCATGGTTTACTTTTTTTTTTTTGCTCTAAAAATAGTTATTATGAAACCACTCCATATTATTTTTCTTTAGATGTTCTGCTAATTATTTGTACAACTGTCAAAAATCTCCAAAGTTTGACAGATATTTGATCATTTCTCACCTGTGAGTAAAACCAGCTACTTTTACTCTTTAAATGAGTTTTGCAGAGAAATTTAAAGCATCTGCTGCTTCTTCATTTAATTTCATCAAAATATATTAATACTCTAATTCTGAGCTGTGGAGGAATAGATGTGAATCTGTGAATGATCAGGTTTTATTATATTAAATTATTAATTAACTTGGGTCATTTCACACCATCACCAGTTTCAACCCTTATTTTGGACCAACACAATCACTTATTAACGCCATTTTGTACTTGATAACTGTTTTACAGGTTAACTGTTATGGTGATATATGGTCAAAAAACTCTCAAATCACACATGTACCTTCGTTGAATCGAATATCCTCCTCTGAAATCTTTACTTTAGGGTTGTAACTAACAGTTATTTTAGTAATTGAATATTCTATCGATTATTCAGCCAAATAATCGATTCATCAGATGAAAACGGGCCCATTCTGCAGATTTTATCTTTTTAATTCAATTATAAATTTTAGAAATAAGAAAATAAACACTTACTGCCTAAAATGCAAAAACAGCATTCCTTTAGTGAGTACTTGATCATTTGGAGCAAAGGATGAATTTCAAACATCAACAAGTGGAAAGCTCAGGCCTTTCAGTTGGACTGAACATCCATACAGCGCAGGGCTGATCTGGTGTTATTTATTAAGATTAATAATTGGACAGTAAGAGTTGGTTGAAAATGTTTTTTCTTTGTTTTTTAACCTGAAACTGAGTTCTGTGTCAAACATATTGAGACAGAAATGGTTTTAATCTTAAATCCAAAATATAGATTATTTTGTGCTGTTTACTGCTCTGAATATGTTATTCATTTAGGAAATGGTCTATGAGTCTGTACACTCCACTTGAACGATTAATTGATTACTAAATTAGTTGATCACTATTTCAATAGTTGATTCATCGTCATTAACCTGATTAATCCTATTTATCGCTTCCAGCTCTGTATTTCCTTATTCCCATTTATTTTGGTTCCTAACCCCATTTGAGTCAGTTGACTCAATAAAATGGGTCACATCATGACTCCTGATCAAAACTAAACTTTTTGCAGATCTTTTTAATTAGAACCGTTCCACCACATTTCCTTTGCCGGCCCGATTTATCACCAGTTGAAAAAGTTCCACAACAAAGGTTGCAAAAGATGAAGTTTTTGACCAGCAGCTTATTAAATTGATCAGTTACTAGCCTCTCACAGTAAGCAATAAATCAGTTGACCACATGATCAATTAAAATCAGCTGGATAATTTCCATTCTGATAATTAATGTTTTTTACAGAGCAATTCTCCTCATAATCCGTTTCATTCATGGTCTCGGTGGTGGGTGGTTTTTATTTCCATTTTGTTTCTTGGTTTTGGTTGGAGGCTTTTGGGGGAGAATATTTCAAATATCTTCCAGTTCCAGTATTAGTGTTCTTTACTAAATTAAAGTTTATTGATCTTTGAGAGGGCAACCTTGCATTATTTTTGCCATTATCATTCTATTACTTGAAAATGGTCTCAAAACAACATTATTGTTTATCATAATAATTTCTAGGGCAATTTATCAATGGCCAAAATTTGCCTACGAGTCACATGATTTTAATTCTTTAACATTTTTTATAAGTTCCTTGTAGTGACATCTAAAATCCCAAGGTGTCTAAAAAGCAAAATTTAAAATTATTCTATTTTTACCTTAAATCTCCTAAATATGTGGCTAAATGTGTCCGAAACTATTTCCAATCCCAAATCCCCTTGTTTTATTTGAATGTGCTCTGAAGATTATTTTGCTCAGGTTTGCTGTATCTCTGTGGAGGAAGGCATTTGGCACTAAGGATTCCCATATATGCAAAAAAAAAAAGAAAAAAAAGAAAAAAAAAAGAAATGACAGAGTGAAAACCGTCTTGATTCAGAGCCGGAGCTCTGCAGGAGAAACCTTATTTTCCATTTGCACGGCAATAAGAACTTCTTCTTTTTTTTTTTTTTACTTACTTTAACAGAGGAATGTTACATCTGCAAGGGCCCATAGAATACACTGTTCATAACCATCTGTCTCAGTGACTCCTGATAAAAAAATAGGAGTCATACACCGCACCGCGTTTCTTGTCCCAGGCGGCCAACGCGAGGCCTCAGAAAGCATAAGCTGCTTCCTCAGACACAAGGTGCAGCTGGTTAATCAGGATAAGAGGAGGCCACGAGGAAGCACTTGGGTTTCACGGGACTCTTCTTAGAATAGACCCTGCACTCGTTCACAAGTACTCCACCGACCTACAGACACAAACACTCTGTGTGAAGTACTCCCATGGGTGTCCACAGTAAATCGGGTCATGAGACAGACACCAGGATTCGCTACGGTTAGCTGGCTTTTTGTGATGTTTCTCCAACATATCCAAAGATGAAAAAAGATGGACTATTTTTTTCAGCCTTTAAATACAAATATATACTTTAAAAAAATCTCACAAATGTGTATGTACAATAAAACAGAGCGAAGGTCTCTGGCGGGTCCAAAAAACAGGAGAGAGTTTGTGAAAAGCCCGTCAAACTGTGGTTTCGCCCTGCTTGCTGTTGGCCAGTCTCGTGTAAAACCTCCGCCATGAGTTCAGGGTCTTCCCAGACCAGATCCAGAAGCCGGAAGTGATTCCCACTATGAGAGTCATGAGATACTTGATCATGAAGACGGTGAAGTCCGGGCTCATGTTGGGGTGGTTCTGGATGGGGCACGGCACGGCGTACGTCTGACATGACTGGCTGACCCACGTCCTCTCCCACTGCTCGCGGAAGGCCTGCTCGTAGAAGTAGCAGGCGATGACGATGGTGGCCGGCACGGTGTAGAGCACGCTGAAGATCCCGATCCGCACCATCAGCTTCTCCAGCTTCTCTGTCTTGGTGCCGTCGTGTTTCATGATAGTCCGGATGCGGAAGAGGGACACGAATCCGGCCAGGAGGAAGGAAGTCCCGATGAAGAGATAGACGAAGAGAGGCGCCAGGACGAAGCCTCGCAGGGCGTCCACGCTGTTGATGCCCACGAAACAGACCCCGCTCAGTACATCTCCGTCCACCTGGCCAACTGCCAGGATGGTGATGGTCTTTATGGCGGGAACGGCCCAGGCTGCAAGGTGGAAGTACTGGGAGTTAGCCTCGATAGCTTCGTGGCCCCACTTCATCCCGGCCGCCAGGAACCAGGTGAGGGCCAGGATGACCCACCAGATGGAGCTGGCCATGCTGAAGAAGTAGAGCATCATGAAGAGGATGGTGCAGCCCTCCTTCTTGGTGCCCTGCACCACAGTCCTCATCTCTTTCTCAAAGCGATCATTGCAAACCACCTTGTCTTCCAGTAGGAATCCAGCAATATAGGCGATGGACACCATGGTGTAGCAGCCAGAGAGGAAGACTATGGGCCGCTCTGGGTAGCTGAAGCGCTTCATATCCACCAGGTAGGTCAGCACCGTGAAAAGAGTGGAGGCGCAGCACAGGATCGACCAGATTCCGATCCAAATTCGAGCAAATTTCAGCTCCTCCTCGCTGAAGTACATAATCCCATGAGACTTCTTCAGCTCGCACGGGGCGCCGCAGTTCTCCTGCCCCAGGAAGCGGTAGTTCAGGTAGGGGGGGACTACGAGGAGCCCCGGGCACCTGAACTGACCGTGCGTGGGCTCGGGCGGGGAGCGCGCGGTGGGGTAGTGCCCGGGCCCCTCCGTCTCCGCGCGGTCCGACATGTTCTGGCCCACGCACAGCTCGCCCGCGCCGTGCACCGGGAACTTCTCGCACGCGAGGCTGTCGGGCCACTGGAAGCCGAACTTGTTCATGAGCGCCTCGCAGCCCTGCCGCGCGCGCTCACACAGAGAGCGGCACGGGGGCAGCGCCTGCTCCAGCACAGTGCACACGGGTGCATACATGGAGCAGAGGAAGAACTTTAAATCCGGGGAGCACTGCACTTTCACCAGGGGGTAGAACTGGTGGACCTCCAGTCCCGCATCTTCCTGGTTCGTGTGGCCCAGCAGGTTCGGCATGATTGTCTCGTTGTAGGCTATGTCTGTGCACAGCGGGATGGAGATCGGCTGGCAGAATCCGTGTTCCGGGATAGACATTCCTCGGTCTCCGTACTGAGCGTTGACCCTGAAGGAGGCGGGCAGGATGAAGAGCAGCAGAGAGACCGCCGTGCGGAGCAGTCCGTGGAGCAGCATTGCGAAGAAGGATCCGCGGCACGACTTTCTGTTTGTTAGGAATAACTTGACGTTCCCTCAGCCTCAGCAGCTTCCCTGAGCGCTTCTTTGTTGCCGAGCTGAACGCAGCGTCTCCCCGCGGTGCTCCTGTCCCCGTCCCTCAGCTTCTCATCCCGCGGCGGGGGAGATAAACGGAACAAAGATCCGCGATCCTCAGCAGCAAACCCGAAACCTTCATTTAAAATCCTCTTTGGAGCCAAATGAAGAGGTTTCCCTTCCAACGCAGGAGCCTCAGTATTCCGTCTGCACAACACAGAGTCAGAGCGCCGATCAAACCCTCTGCTCTCTCTCTCTCTCTCTCTCTCTCTCTCTCTCTCTTTCTGCCTCCGTCTAGTTAGAGCCAAATGCACGTCAATGCATGTCCAACATCCACCGAGCCCCTTCAAAATAAAAGCTGTTTTACACCCAAGTCCTGCTAGATTTGATGGTTCTCTTTTATTAAGGATGTTCTCATCAGAAAGCAGTAACAGAAGTACTTATTTGAGCTTCATTTTAAAATACAACATATGAAATTGAAAAATATAGTTTCATAATATATATATATTTTTATGTGGTCAATGAGTAAGTAGAAATTACAATTTTTGTGCATTTTTCTTTCCCTAAAGCACACACACAAAATAATAATAATAAAAAGTTTGCAAATGTAATTGCATTCCAAAAGAAGCCGCTGATGCTTTGACCACCATGGCTGTAGATGCAGCTGTTTCTTCTGTACAGCT